ACTAATAATCTCTGCCCCACCTTGGTTTACCTCTTTGCCACTTGGCCTCCAGCACTGTGTACATCCCCCTTTCCTCTGTCATCCCAGATACTGCAAGGACAGTTTCACTTTCCAGATTCTTGGTTTCAGCAAATGCCTTCATGCCTTCCACTAGAGATTGGAGCTGCTGGAGTGCCGCTGGCTGATGGAATTCTAGTTGAGAATGATCTGCAGCCAGTACCCACTCCCCTGCTCCATAAAGCCATGACAATCGTTGGACCAAGTGAACTATACTGAGCATGTGGCAGTTATGTCCTTAGAAAGACTATTCTTTGCTGTCAGAGTGAGAAGTCAGTGACACACCTGTCACCCAACCATTTCTGTTCTTACAATTAATTAGACTGTTCACTAAGGTCCAGTGTAAGTGATCTTGCCAGCTAATCCACCAAATGAAAAGAGATGATAAATATTTGTTTAGTCTCATTTTAAGTACATTATCTACATCAGAAATACATGCTGTTTTAATAGAAAAACAAAAAGAATGCAGTGATGAGTTGAATGTTTTTCTCAACATAATCATTACAGTTAAGATTTTCATATAGACCATGGAATGGAACAATTCAAGGTCAGACATATAATCAGATAAGACCAGGCCTCTGATCCCCAGCTCCACTTCATAATTAATCCTGTAGCCAAAGAATGCATGAGGATTTTTTAGAGTCTAAGTAGAGTAAACCTGTCTAGGTTGTTTATTTCATTCCTTTTTTTAAATCCTCAGGTGCATATGCCTAGACTTTTAAAAGCAGCTGGGATTATACCAATTCAGTGTTGCAGACTTTGCCATTTTACCACCCACTGAATTCCTGGAAGCACTTTGCCACACCCACACTGGGTAAAGATGCACAAAATTATAGTGGTCAAAAAAATCTTATTTTGTAAAAATAGGTTGATATTATAAAGGAGATCCAGATCCCTAATCATCCATCGTTCCTGAAGAATGGTAATGCACACAGACAACCCCCCCACACTGGTACAAATGACATTATTTGTGAAGTAGTATTTTATGAAGATTTGCTTGAAAATAAGTTGCATCTTATCAGCCATAATTCCTTTTTTAAAAAAATTCTTTCATATTCACTGTTTCTGATTTTGTGATCTTATTTTCTTTTTTAGATTCTTGATGAATTACAAGGACATTTAAATACTGGTCCAATATATTTCTGTATATAGTTGTTCTTATGCATTCTACCAAAGTACTCTTTCATTTTAAAATTTAATGAGTATTTTATTTGAGTATCACATCTTGCTCTCAGGAAGAAGCAATGCCAAGCACAGGTTCCTAAAGCAATTGCTAGTATGTGGTTTATATAACATAGTTGACAAGGAGCTCTGCGATTTTTTTCTAGCCTACGTGGGCTTATCTCCCCCCCCAACCTTTTTAATAGTTGACTTGCATCTTTTGAATTGATGATGAAAGAGGGAAAGAATGATTCATCATTAGCTTAGAGCCATAACCTCATAAATTTTCTTCTCTTTGCCTAACTAATCATCATCATTACTAATTATGATGAAAATAAACTGGAATGTAATACAAGCTGGCTTACCATAGAACACATCAGAGTATAAATCAAAGAGGTTGCTGTCAAATTGGCTTTAGGGTTGAACACTGAAAAATAGAAACTGTTTTCCCTTTTCTGCTTCTGTGATCAGCTCATATTGTAAGGCCTAGAATTTGTTTGGATAGAGTTGGAAATTGAGTAGCCTAATCTCATTTTAAGGGAGCTTAACACAAAATTAAGTGAACATTACTTTGGACACAAATGGCTGGATAAAATTGCAGGCTGATTTTGTTGGGAGGGGGGAAAAAGATGGTGTGGCAGGGCTTGGAGCAGAGCCAGGAAGAATTCTTGCATTCTCTGGTCAAAATGGCAGCTCTGTGATAATCAGGAAGCACGGCTGGACACTCTGCCTGGGCAAATTATACTTTGCATGTTGTGAATAGTGAGTGAACGCACTTGACCTTCCGTACAGCGCCACCATCCCTGCTGGGACCATGAGGCAGCAGGCTCAAACAAGTTAAGTGATTTGATCTGATGTCATAGCTAGTTAGTGAGTAGAGAGGCCACAGCTCTAGTGTTTCTCACTTGTGCTACATTGCTTCCCAGGCCCGTGTTTAGAAGATAAGGTCTATGGTATGGAAAGTAGGTGAATCAATAACTTGGTGGTCGTTGTTTCGATACTGGTATCATGAAACATTTTTGTCCCCAAGGTTGAGAGCTGTTGACTTGGGGGCCATTGGTAAGGAAAGTTCTCTTTTACAGTATCCTGTCATTGTTTTACTACTGCACTTAAACTGTTACTGTTACCACAACTCAATCTTCCTATATGACCTTCCTATATGATCAATCTTCCTATATTCAGATTCATATCTCACTAGGATACTAGGACCTGATTTTCTGTGAGTTTAACACTAAGGATAGATAAGCGCAAGATAATGCCAACAAACTTCATGACCTCTCTCTCTTTCTCTCTCTCTCTCTTTCCCTCTCTCTTCCTCTCTCTCCTTCTCTCCTCTTTAAGAAAACAAATTCATTATCATAGATACAGTTTGAAGAGTTGTTACCAACATTGATCTGGCTGCTTGCCATAAGAAAAGCCAATAATTGGTGGGCTCAAAGTCAGTTGTATTCAGGGGCAAGCATCCTGCAAAGATTTCAAGCTAGATCTTGGAAGCTGGATGAAGGACTTTCACGGAGTGCTCAAGGCGCACCCTGGCTGAGCAGTTTCATCATCCAAGGCTTGTGTCTCCTTTTCTCTCCTTTGTCAGATGCCTCAATCTTCTGGGACCAGTATCTATGGTTCTTTAAACATTTTAGATACATTATTTTCCTCCAAATAAATAACAAACAACAGCAGTGTATGTGCTTTGTGTTAGTTGATACCCAGAAGAACTAAAGAATAAGTGTCATATTTTGATATAATCTTTATGCCACTAGATATTGTGGTTTCTGAAAATCTCAAGCTATCCCAGTAGTTTTCATCTGCATCATTTACGTGTGGCTACCCTACAGAGTTCAGGATATTGAGGCTTGGAGGGGTCGTGGCCTTGCCAGGGACCACCCACAGGAGCAGCCACTATAAGGTAATGGGTCTCCTTTCCACTCTGGTCCCTGCAGGCCACTCTCCTCTCCTTTCTTTCTGGCTCTGGCTGCTGCTTCTCCCCCCCGTGGATGTCACCTTAATCATGTCCAGTGTTGACTTTTCAATGTCAGCCCCACATTTTCTAGCTTTTCTCGATTCTTCCTGTAAAAGTTAACTTTTTCCCAACACCTGCATGGACTATAGCCTAAGCAGAACTTTGTGGCCTCTGATTGCGATTTCTCTCAGTGATGCTGTGGTCTTATCAAGACTTAACTTGGATTCCATCTACCTTATGACCTCATTCAATGCATTGCCTGGTCTGAGCTACTCTTATAAGAGAGTGTAACACTTCCTATCACTCCATATGCCTGCCCCCAGCCACTCTTCACCTCTTATCTGATATTATCGTAGTCTGCAAACAGGTCTTTGTAACCTGCCCCAGATGAATCATTCTACCTTTAATGTTTGATGTTTTCCCATTGCCAACTATAAACGCCAAGTTAAGCAGACACTAGGTTTGGTCCACAGTCCTAGTCTGTGGCTTGAGCCTGATGGAGCACATTTCTCTCTCCCTATGGGATCTGTGGTCCTGGCTGGGCCTAGAATGAGTGCATACAGATTCTGTAAGTGCCGTCTATGTCAATGATAGAAGTTTAAGGGCTAAGGATATAAAATTCTTTAAACTCTATAAGGAAGCCAGTTTCTGGTGGCTCATACATGTTATCCTAGCTACTTAGAAGGCTGAGATCTTAGGATCTCAGTTCAAAGCCAGCCTGGGCAGGAAGGTACACAAGATTCTTATCTAATTAATCACCAAAAAGAAAAGGTCAGAAGTGTAGTAGTGGCTCAAGTGGTAGAGTACTAGCCTTGAGCAAAAGAGTTCAAGGACAGTGCTTATAGTCTTAGATTTCAAGCCCTAGGACTGGCACCAAATAAAAAATATCTATAAACAGACATCTATAAGTCATTCTAGGATTAGGGGAAAAATTCTAGTTGATGTCTCATGTAGAAGAGAGAAATAATCAGAAATAATTTGATAATGGCTGACTTCCTTTTCTCTTCTCATACTGATTTCTTCACTGGAAAACAGCTTGACCTCTGATTCCTGTCTGTGATCCAGAGCACTTGCATAGCATGTGTGAGGCACTGAAATGGCTCTTGACACAAACCTAAATAGTAATAATACAAGAACTGATTGAGAAATATTTGTGGTTTGTGTGCCTTTGTTTGACCTTTACTGCCTGAAGGTACATTGCTGTTCCATTTTTCTGATTGCTTCTGATGAGGTGATGAGAATTACAAACAGGTGGTGAGAATTATCAGATGGTTCAAATGCTTAATAAGCATTATCTTGGTTCAAATGATTTGGTGGCAAGGATTAAAAAGATGGGCTTCTTCCAGCAGAGTCATGTTAATAACCTTTGAGAAAGGAGCTTTCCTGGCCCATAGCAGCAGGCTGGTTATTGCTGCACTCGGAGATTGCCTGAATCTGGCAGCTATTATTTACAGGAGGGTGAGTAGGAACAGATCGAGAGAGCCAGAGGACCTCATAGGAAATACCACAGACATATGGGAAAAGAGAATTTCTCTAGTGTGTTTTAGGACAAGCCAGATTCCAATGCAATACACAAAAGAGAAACGACAGACTATGAAATAAGGAGGCATTGTCTCTACCTGTTGATGGAATCCATTTCTTTAGAAAATTTTGCTGTGCTTCCTTCAGGAAGCTGGGAACATTACAGAAATCCCACAGTCTCATTTCTATGCTCTTGACCCAAGATCAATACTTTTGAACTAGGCTATAAATCCTTGAACTATACACACCTCACACCTTCTCTGAATGAGTTAAATCGTTCTGTTTGTGTCACTTGTCTCCTCAGAAATGAATGCATGCGTCCACGCCAAAGGCCTGCAAGCTCCGTGATTCCCCTTGGTGACCTGGGAAGGACAAGGTGGTGACCACTGAACACCAGCTCCTCCTCCTCCTTCCTGCGGGCCCCACCCTTCCTACTCACGGACCACGATGGAGACCCTCTCCCAGGATTCTTTGCTGGAATGTCAGATCTGTTTCAATTACTACAGTCCTCGGCGCAGGCCCAAGTTGCTGGATTGCAAACACACCTGCTGCTCCGTGTGCCTCCAGCAGATGAGGACCAGCCAGAAGGAGGTGCGATGTCCCTGGTGCCGGGGCATCACCAAGCTGCCCCCGGGCTTCTCCGTGTCACAGCTCCCCGATGACCCCGAGGTCCTGGCCGTCATCGCCATCCCACACACTTCCGAGCACACCCCAGTCTTCATCAAACTTCCGAGCAATGGGTGCTACATGCTGCCTCTGCCCATCTCCAAGGAGCGCACTCTACTGCCGGGCGACATGGGCTGCCGTCTGCTGCCTGGGAGCCAGCAGAAGTCTGTCACAGTGGTGACCATCCCAGCCGAACAGCAGCCTCTGCAAGGTGGTCCCCCACAGGAGGCGGTGGAGGAGGAGCCGGACAGGCGGGGGGCTGTGAAAAGCTCCACCTGGTCCGGCGTGTGCACTGTGATCCTGGTGGCCTGTGTCTTGGTCTTCCTGCTGGGCATTGTACTGCACAACATGTCTTGTATCTCCAAGCGCTTCACTGTGATCTCCTGCGGCTGAACCCCAGGGCAGGGAAGGCTCTTGTGGGTGCCAACGTAGAGGTGGAGCAGGTGTTGGTGAGGGGATCCCAGTGAGATGGGGGAGGGGGTGACACTACTGACCGTTTGGTGCCAAGCGCTGGCCTCTGGGTTGCTACTTGATCCACCCGAAGGACAGACGCAGAGGGTGGAAGGTGAGGTCTGAGCGAGGTGGCAGGCGAATTGCTGTGCGTGGATGGAGACGGCTTTGAAGATGATTGCATGCTTCCTCATAATCATGTATGAAATGGGCCTGTAATTTATGATTTCTCAAGATCACATTATGAGATAGACATATTCTACTTAGACATTAAACTATACGCGTGCATACAACAATCTCTAAATACAGTAGGTTAAAACGAAGATGCTGTGTATATGAGTAGAATTAAACCTCGAGTCCACATAGAAATTCAGTAAAGACATCCAGTGCTGGCTTCTTGGCCTTTTTCTTTCTTTTCTTTTTTCTTCTATTTTATTTTCATGAAACCCAGTGTTCTTTTTGTTGCTAAGGCATTTTATACATTTTGAAGGACACCCAAATCAAAATAAGTAAAACGGATTGTGGTGATTTGAAGGAAACATTTGAACAAGTGTCTTGTCATGTACCTTGATTTCTCTTGCGATTAGAATTTGCTACTTGTTTATTCATCTGAAAGCAAACAAGGGAGCAATAAAGAAGAAATAATGAGAAATGTCTAATTCCACAAGAAACTTGTATGCCGATTTTCCTCAAGCCATCTCCCAATTTAAAATGTAAATATTTGTGTATTTGTGTGTGTGTAGCGTGTGTGTAATCTGATTTACCTCAGGCTTTTGAGTCTTTTCAGAAGAACCCTGTGAGCCAGACCTCACAGGCGCGAATAAGTTAAGCATCTGCAACATTGGCCACCCTGTGGACACCTGGATCTCTGCGTCCCTCCCCCGCCCCCCATGAGGGGCCTTGTTTGTCACCTCCAACACTCACCTTTGTTGTATGTTTTTATGTACTGTATTTCTAAGGCATAAATGGAGACTGTCAGAAGAGCTTGTCTTTTCTTTCAGTTTTGGGCTTTGTGAAGACTATGAATGGATGAGCATCTGAATTAGACAGATTGCTTTTTGAAAGATGTTGGCCTGTGAAAGTCAAACCTTTTAGAACTCCAATGTTCTCTTGAGATATAACCAAGAAAATCTTTTGTATTTCAAAATGTGTTGTTTTTTTTTTAATAGAGAAGAGTGGCAAGGTAAACAGCTCACGTTCCCATCAATGAGTCAGTTCCTTACGAATTGAAAATGTAACTACTGAAAATGTATAGTGGTCTATGGGTGCGCATGAAGAAAGATCTGTTAAAGGATAAATTCCTGTGAGGGGGCATTCAGGTGGGAGCTTTATACTTCTTTTCTAGTCCCCTTCATTGATTTCAGGAAGCAAGCCTTCCACTTAAATATGATTTTAAGTTCTGTTGAATCCCAGAAAATGGCAGGAACGTTGGGGAGAAAGAAGAGAAAAATAAGAAGTGACGGATTTCAGAAAGTAAAGCTAGACAATATCCCTTTAAGATTGAGACAATTTAATTTACCTATTATATGCTAGCTGTTACCTTCAAGCAACATAAAAGTATATGCATACTAAACAGATGGAATTAATGTGAATAAATTGAAAAACTAATAACTAGACTACAAAGCTCACACTTAATTGGCATGAAAATTCAATGTAAAATTATGAACTCTGATTTCTCAAATCTTTCAAATTTGTCATAAAACCTTTAGAAAATGTATTTGAAAGCTCAAACTAGAAATTAGGTTACAATGCCATTTTATTGTGTAAGCTATTGGGCATTATACAACAAATAATCTAGGATTTATTTGGTATTAATAATTTAGGTATACTATTAGCCGCATACTATCCTGTATTATGTAACACGATATACTGTTGGGTTAGTGTCAGTTTCTCAAACTCCCAGGATGCTGTAATGCATGTCTGACCTAATTTCTATTTTTCTCGGAGGGAAAAAAAAATACATAGAAATGTTGCATTGAAAATGCGGCGTTTCAAATAGATTTTATCCTTACAGTTCTAAGTCATGGAATATTTAAATTAATTTGATGAGTGGAATCTGCATACATTTATGTACAGTGTGAAGTGACCAAGCCTCTAGCATAGTCTGTGATAGAGTTGTGCTTGTTCAGTAGGCTATGTAGCCCCCACGGACACTAATGTGTGTGGTAATGCGGTGTCCTGTGTTTCTTAGTCCAAAGCTGTAGAGTAAAAAAACAAATGTCCATAGAACTGTTCACTTAAAACCAGCCAGGTGCTGGAGCTACAGTGACCAGTGCAAAATTAATTGGCTCTTTGGTAGATTCTGGACCTTAAAATGAATAGTACCTACCCAAATCAGAATGTGTGTGTGTGTGTGTATTTAAGAAAAATTATTTACATTGTTAAATGAACTGTACCAGCAACTTGCATACCCGCTTGTTAGGGTGTGTGTGTGAAAGACAGACCTTCAAACCTTCCAGATAGAATTTTTATGTGTTTAACAATGTTTTAATGTTACCTGGTATCCATTGCCCTGGCCTCTTTGGAATTTCCCTGCAATGCTAACAACCTATATACTCCATACAATGCAGCTGCCAGAATTTGTACTTGCCTATCCGTGAAAGGCCACAAGTGGAAAGCAGAGAAAGTTAGAGCTGAAAGCAACCTCTGGTGGCAGACATCAGTTTGGAAGTGAGTCCATGGGGCCCGCGAAGGAGAGTGACAACTTGTAATTCTGCAGCAAAAGAATGCTAAAGGCCGGGCATTGTGATGCCCTCTTGCTTAGTCCTGGATCTGTCACCATCCCTGCCTGATAAGTGATTCTTTTCAGGGTTGATGAATATATCCTTTTTTCATTCAACTATTGCTTTCCTGTTTGTTTTTGTAGGTTTATTTTCATTTTGGTTAGGAACTTCTCTGGGAAGCAAAAGGAGGGTTGATTTAAGGATGAGCATAGATGATTGAAGAAACTTTTCAAACCATGTGATTTGAAGTTCTAAAAATTGCTAAACATTGGTTGGGTCCTCCTTCCTATGTGTAAAGGACAATGAATGTTGTATAAAATAGTAACCCATAAGAAGCATGAATTTTCATCTTTATTAGTGATCTTGACAAACAAGTGAATGCTTAAATACGTTAAGTAGAGCCAAGTATGCCACCAAAAAAAAAAAAGCATTGTCTTTGGAAAATATCTGTATAGTTATCTGTGGTAAAAGTTACAATGAAAAGAGGTAAATTGATTCTGAGTTCTATTCACCTTTTATTATCAGAAAGCTCAAGGTATTCTCTTTACAAATAAATTTAATCTTGTGCATGACTTACAGAGTGGGCCCACTGGAGGGTCAACTGTGTGCTAGTTACAGCCCTTGGGATTTTCTAGATCAATGAGATTTTTTCTAGATCAATATGATTTTCTAGATCAGTATGATTTCTAAATTGATGCTATTTGATAGAAACTTGAGAGATGATGAAAATGTTAAAAGTCGGATTGTCCCATGTGGCTAGTGACTACCATAGTGACCAGAGGCATCAAAATGTTCCTAAAATAGTGAAGTAGAGAGATTGTTTATGGGGTAGTAATACAGAGTTGGCAAAAAGAAAGCTCTTCCATTCTGGGCTTAAAAAGTGCGTCATCTTCAGTATGACAGTAAAAATGCATCTGCTGCCTTTGGAGTGGACCAAGGAAGAGCAATAAAGCTTAAAGTGGGCTTTATTAAGCCCCTTTTCTGGAACCATAAGCTGCATGTGAATTTATTGACCAAAAATAGTTAGATTGTAGCTGTAAAATGTTTTAACTTGCAAGCTGTGCATGACCTGTGTTGTGAAATTGTGTTTAGGGTCTTGTGTCCAAAAAAGTGTTTCAGAAAAAAAAAAAAAGCCTATGACTCCCCCTTCACTTCCAATGTCTTTCCTGAACTCCATTGCCACATTAGTAAGGTGTGAAATCTAAGAGCAAGCATGTTTTGCAGAGTTCAGAGTGTTTTTGTATTTTTGGGAAGTCTGACAGCTTGTCATTATATTTGATGTAGGAATCTGTGAATGTCAGTTTTCAGATGCCAGACTAAAGTGTGGATGCTATTTTTAGAATGGGATTTGACATTTTTTATTTTAGTTTTCACTAGTTTGCACCAAAGCACTTTTTAAGATTATCATTAAGCAGTTGTACAAAGGGGTTACAATTCCATAAACAAAAGCACCTTTTACATTTTGTTTTCTACAATTGGATGCATTGACAAATGGAATTGAAAGACTGGAAGAGTATTGAAGTTACTAGAATAGTTTTTTTTTTAATTGAGTAAAGGAAAGCAGGAAATTCAGTTTGAGATGAATTTCCACATAAAACTCAGACTCTTCCGATTAAGCTGATATTTATTCCAGTCTAGATAATTATCTGAAGAGTTCCCATTCTTGTATTTAAAACTTTGTGTCTCAGAATTGGTTAATTTGCTTTTGGTTATTTTCCATGTGTAATGTAAACCAAAGGCATTTGCTTTAATCTCTCTCTCTCTCTCTGTGTGTGTGTGTGTGTGTGTGTGTGTGTGTATGTATGTGTATGTGTTTAATTCTAGAACTTGTGAGTGAACGCAACTGCTCCTCTAGATTTTTTGTCAAAGTGGCTGTTTTTCATTAGACTTAAGAAAATTTGAAAGCTCAAGGTTATTAGTGGACAGGAGTGATGTGCAAAACACTGTATTATGTATCTTCCCTTGGAAAAATGAGGCTACCGGCCAGGCAGCATTTTGTTTAAAGGATCAATCAGGCCATTTGTCATCCTTGACCTAGATGAAGAATCTGTTCCTTGACAATTCCATCATTCCCAGCAAAATGTCACCCACAAGGTAATTCTTACCCAAACAGTTTCTACACCATACCAGAGCCAAGGAAATTTCATGACAGTTTTGAAGCTAAAAGTAAAATTTCAAATCAACAGTGATCAGTTGCTGAATTTTGTGAAACCGGAAACATTCTTGAAACCATTCTTGAAACCTAAGTAGAGAACTAGAGGCATGGCTCAAGTGGTAGAGGATTTGCAAAATAAGCACAAAGAAGGCTCCAAATTTCAACTCCAGTGCCAAGAAAGTGGATAATCAAGCATTAATTTTTTTCCCTGACCTGCTGTGCATGCACACATAAATACACAATTTAGCTGGGAAAGGAATGAGCTAGGTGGTAAGAACCATCCTACTTTCTAACTTGCAGGGATTACACAATGTTGAATATAGAGGTTGAATTCCTATCTGTTGCTATGAGCTCCATACATAATGTTAGACTTCGGTAGTAAACTTTGTAGGTAAGCTTTTTAGATTTTGCCAGTGCGTGAAGAGGTGGGTTCTGCTGTGTTCATTTAGAAAGTGTCTGTCACCAAGGCACATGAGCAGATGAGGCATTCAGTTTCTTACTGCTCAAGGGATCAGGGTAGCATGCCATGATTCTCCAGCTCTCCCAGTGTGGCTCCCATTTTTCTGCACAAATTTCTTTGTTCTCTGTAGCCAGTAGTCTTTGATTCACTGCCTGGGGAAATCCCACTGTCTCTCTCACTCACGATGTAGTGGTGCTTGAAAACATTCATCTTACTAGCTGGATTTTACTCTAGCTTAAGGTTTTTGATACTAATCTTATGATACTTCTAGGGTCAATCAGTAATTAGTACAAAATACTTAGGGGCCTCCTCAGATCCCTGACAGCATGCTATTTTGTGTGTTTTTTTGTTTTGTTTTGCAGGGATGTTCATTTTTATCTTATTTCTAACCATACAGAATGCTGCTCTAGTTTGCAAGGCTAGTATTGCATGGCACAGTCTCCTGTCATCTCCCTGAGGTGTGAGTTATTTTGGGGTTATCCTACAAAGTTTTCCAAAGGAATGGTTAATAAAAGTGTCTGTAAGCACTTGTACAGTGGGGGTTCAGTTCCACAAATCAGTTTATAAGTACAATGCATCTCTTTTTAATGTTGTTTTATTTCAGTAGTTGTACAAAGAGGTTGCAATTCCATAAGTTAGGTTATGAGTACAACACTTCTTGATAGCTGTTACCCCTTCCACTGTTGTCCGTCTTTCCCAACCCCACCCATGCCTTTCAGTTATAAGGTTTCATGTTCATGTGTGTTCATTGAATATAAGGGTAATGTGCTCACCCACCCTTCTCTATTTCCCCTGCTCTCCATCCTCTTGACACCACCATGCCCCAATAAAACATGTTTCAGCTTTCTGATGTCCATTTTGGTAAACTGTTAGTTGGTTGTTTAGAGTTACACCATTAGAGGAATCGTCAATTTTTAATTTGACATTTGCCTTTTGGGAATCCAGAAGTAGGTGATTGGATGTGATGGTGGAGAGGAAGTGTGGGCTGGAACAAGAAGAAGAGAGACAAATGTCATGTATCAGGGGAACTGTTGATATCTCTAAATAGTACGCAAAGCAGTAAGTACTCAATTGCTTTATATTGTTCTGGCTGGACTGGCTAAGATTCCACTCAACTGTTAAGAGGACTTTGTATAGGAAAAGTAGAGAAAAGGCCATGGATGTCTGGACAGACAGGTAGACAAACCCAGAGAAGGATAAAATACTTAGAGAAACAAAGTCTGTGATAAGGATTGTAGCTGGGAAATAAAACAGGTACAAAAGGACATTGTGGACAGAAACCGGCTGAAGAAAGCAGCTGGGAGCAAGTGAGAGAGCTCAGTGAAGCGCGATCTGCCGCTCTGGCCCGGATGACACATGCCGAGGACGACTCTACAGAGTGCACTCAGTTGATGCGAAGAATCCCAAAGAGGCCCCCTGTTTCCTGTCATCTTCTAAACTCTTGAGTGGATCAGTATGCTAGACAATTCCAGAACCTTCTGTAGAGATGGTGGCTGAGTCAGTAGAAAGGCCCGCGGTCTCCTTCGCAGTGGAATGCGGTACCTAGCTATATGGGTCTGTGTAGGCTTGAATTCCCTACCATTGAGCATACTTTCTATTTATTTATCCCCCCACTTGTTCGTGTTTGCCTCACTGGACGGTTGACATCGTGTGGAAGCCGGTTCCCGGTGGCTGCCACAGACTCACAACAGAAGCTGTGTAGCTGCCACCAGGGTCCCTTCCCTCTCAGGTTCCACCAGTGTGTTCCCACGCCCTGGCTAACAAACTCTGGTCAAATAGCAAGATGCTGCTCAGAGGCCGTTGACTCCAGTCCTTGACATGTTTCATTTACAGTTATGTGTATTTATTTTTAGGAGCTTTTAAAGGGCCAAATTGCCCTACAGATAAATGAGCTGCCGGTCCATGTAGAAAAAAATACTGTCCAAATGTTGCCAAATATTGACTTTGTAAAGGGGATATCAAGCTGCTGTTTATTAATCTGAATGTCTTAAAAGCATTCTTGCTTGCTCTCTGTTATAGATGGTGTCTTAGCTAGTCCTGAGTTTTTCCAATGAACTCAATTTTAATATATGGTATTTTTGTATGCCAACTGGTGTCTTGTCCTTTGTATATGTGGTAATGTTAATTTTATGACTACTGTTAAAACACATTTGCTATGATTAAAATTCAAAATGATTTCAAGTAGACTCAGATGTTTTTCTTCCCTCCCCCTCCAACTGGCAAAGAAAAGAAAAGTTAGCCTGAGATTTGTCACCATCAGTTACTCAATTGTAGTAGACTTGGGTATTAACGCCATGAGGAATTCCTGAGCCAGGGATTTTAGTAGAGGTGACTCTCAAGTGACTCTGGAAAAGCCGAAGAGTGAATTCATAATGAATGAGTAAGCCCAAAGTTGTTTTTGCCACTTGGCTTCTTGTGGCTCCATCTTTGTCTTCCACTGTTCAGAAATGACAAGTGTACCTCTGGCCCCAGATGGGCTGTTGAATTGTATTGCAGCCCCTGCCCTGGTCAAATTGCTCCTTTGATAAGTGCTCTCATGTGTAGCACGGAAGGTGTTTGGAGAACCCTTGCTGACAACATGCATGAACCACTGGATCATGCGAATTTCAGGTCCACTTAGCATCTTAATTGAGGGGTAATCAATGCTCTGATCTATGTATGTGCTAATGTAAGCTTGCTCTGGTTCTGTATGGAAAATGTATTTTTAGATAATCCTATCTCTGAAATGATTATGTCAGTACATCCTGAGGGAAGGGGCAGAAATCAAGCTTTGTATTATTAGTGAGTCAAGCATCATTTATTTTTACCTATT